CGGTTGAATGTGGGGGTTCTGTTCAGTGTAATGGGAATTATGTATTTTTGTGTATTGTAACGGAGCTCCTTGTACTCCGACTGAGTACCCTCCGTTGATGGATGCTCCTAGGGCTTCCTGAGGACTCCCAAGCACTGCAGCAGACACCACAACCACCGCAGACTCCGCAACCGCCGTATCTTGACTGGAGTCTCGCCGTCTTCCTTCCACCCTGGATCAGCTTCTTTCCTCCAGGACTGTGTGGTGAAGACCCCTCCTCCAAGGAGAGCGTGTCAGGAACAAGCTCTTAAAAGAGCTAAGTGACTCAAGCTCAGAGGAGCATGCAGAGCATAGCTGTGACGAGACTGTAACGGAGCTCCCTGTACTCCGACCGAGTACCCTCCGTTGATGGATGCTCCTAGCGCTTCCTGAGGACTCCAAACACTGCAGCCGACACCACAACCACCGCAGACTCCACAACCGCCGTAGCTTAACTGGAGTCTCGCCGTCTTCCTTCCACCCTGGATCAGCTTCTGTCCTCCAGGACCGTGTGGGGAAGACCTCTCCTCCCGGAGAGCGTAACAGGAACAGCTCTTAAAAGAGCTAAGTGATTAAAAGCTCAGGGGAGTATGCAGAGCATAGCAATCCCAAGTGTGATATAGCAGTTCCCTCAAATAACGAGACAAGGCTACGTATTGAGGGTCAAGAAGATCTGATGTTTAATGGCACACACTCTGCTTTTATGAGATTCTGCCCATGCAAGGGAGACACCCACATAATTAGCAGTATAACCAATCGGAACAATATACATTCAGGGAAATTTCCATCCCTCAGATAATCACATAACATAATTAAAACAGAACAGTAAAAATACAGTTTTTATACATGTACTATACACATCCAATCTTCATAAAAATTACATATTTGGAATCAATCCATTAAGGGGAGCAACATATTAAAAAATGGCACAAATCAGACAAGGGGTTCAAAAGTTAGCAAAAGTGTCTTTTGGGGCCTGGCTGGCAGCATGGTTTTCTGGCCCAAACCGGTTTTACAGGGGCCTCTATCCTGGACAATGGGGAAAGTAGTTATCAGGGATAGAGGCGAGACTCAATAACCACATGTTAGCAAAAGACACAAAGACACAAAATACATAACTCCCTATTGAACTGAACAGAACCCCCCACAGCCTATCCCCAGATGGCTTGGATCACAGCTCAATATGTCCAAACAGCAGCTCCAGATCCCACAAATACTAGTCAAATCGCCATACACACTAGGTCCATAGTCATGGGGCAGGAAGGCTGGCAATTGGGCTTCTCCCATAACTACAGGGAAGCAGGGCAATTTGTCAAATAAAATACTTGATTACAAATGGCGGTTTGGCAACAGAGACCAATCTCGCCACATTGCATTGGAAAAGCCTGGTTGCTCGCCTGCTGCCTTTGGACTATGGCCCCCTTTTAAAAGACTTTATTTTGCCTGCAGAAAAGCTGTATTCGTGCTTTTCTGCCGGTTGTTCGGTAGTTTCAATCTACCGAACAACCGCACGAATGAATAGACCAACTGGGAGCTGGAGTGTGCCGGCAATTAACCTCCCTGAAGCTGCGGTTAACCGCAGCTTAATTGATGAATGCTGGGTGGCCGCCATTCGTATCCCGAACACGAGGTCGCGGCCATTTTAAAACATACGAATGCACAGCAGTGTTCGTCTCTATTTTCATGGAACTAAAATCGGACACAGTTTTGCGCGAACACGGTATTTTTGTTCAAATGTATTATACCCCAGATAGGAATCCCATGGAGCCCATTCGTATGAAACTGACTGTGTAAAGACTTTAGCTCCATGGCGATTAAACTGTATTCGTGTGGTCTGCGTGCCATTCACCTAATAATGTGCACTCAGACCTGAGCTATCTGGGGATATGTTACATGTCTGTGTTTTGTGTAATAAATGTTACATTATGTATTTTAAAGTATAATGCTGGTTTTGTGTCCCCACGTGTGTAATGGAGTTTTGCCTTTGTCTTGGGAGATAATTGAGTTACTTCCCAATTATCTCCCAAGGTAGAGGGGAGGAAGCCAGGATGCATTGTGGGAAATACTGTGACTGTGTGTCCTATTTGTCTGCTTGTCTGTCCCTTGTCACAGTCTCCCATTTGGTCCCCTAGGGGAGTGTCCACCAGGTGGGAGACCTGCATAAATACTGGGCAGGTAGCCCTCATTAAACAGACCACTGCTTGACCCTCAACATGGAGCTCTGTCTCGTCTTTGGGGGGATTTACTGTATGCCGCTAAGGACTGATTACCAGGAGTGTAAGCCGCTTGGGAGCTTTTCCTGTTCGTCTGGTAGCAGCAATTCGTATGGTTCCTGTTCGTGTATTTGGAGTGCTACCTTATTCCCTTGTATGCCGTTCGGGAGTTTGGAGCATTCACTTGTTTGCAGTTCGAGTGTTTGGACCATTCCCTTGTATGCAGTTCGAGTGTTTGGACCATTCCCTTGTATGCAGTTCGAGTGTTTGGAGCATTCCCTTGTATGCAGTTCGGGAGTTTGGTGCATTCACTTGTATTCGATTCGTAAGTTTTGGGTGATTCTACAGTAGCTGTGCCTGTCTCTAAAAAGGGATTATCATCTAAGTGGTTTTTTCCCCTTTTGTGCAAAACGGTCCGTTACAATAGCAATCCCCAGTGTGATTATAACAGCTCCCTCCAATAACGAGACAAGGCTACGTTTAGAGGGATCAAGAAGAACTGTCAAAACCTTTATTTCCCTTGGGACCAGCCAATAGGGTCACCACAATAACATTGTTGTGAAACCTCACTAAAATCACAAACAGTCAAACCATATCAAGCAACACACAGTGACTTATCACAACACAATGGCACATTTTTAAAGGGGTGGGGGGAGACAATATTTAACAGTAAATATCTCACCTGCCTGCAGAATTAACAATATGCAAATCTACCCGAATATGCAAATGAACTAGTCTTGCAATTCAGGTAGTGCATATTGCTGTTGCTACCAACAGAGGGCACTAGACAAGCTCCACAGCCAAACCCACCTAGTTGGTAGCAAACCTCAGCAGTACAGGAGAGCAGGCAATACATTACATTACAGTACACACACACACACTATAAACAATTACATTACACACACCCTGCACCTATAATGGGTACAAGGTGACTAAAACATAAGATAAATAAAGCAGCCTACATAAATAGTCTGTCTGAAGGTAGACTAGGGGCTTTAAAGCCAGATACATGAAAGAGTCATAGTCACAGGGGAGGAGGCTGGCAAGTAGGCCTCTCCAGGACCAAGTGGCGAAGGGCACTTCGTCACATGTATTTTTACTGTTGTTGTGAATAGAGCTATTTTCTGTATGCTGGAGATATTTGGCTTACCACACCCAAGCCATGCTTGCAGGTGGTCACAAAGGGACTTCCAACTAACTTTTGACCCACTGGACCAATTTGTATGATTTTGACGTATGTTTGTATTTGGAGAATGCTGATTCTGAAAATGTAATGTAAAAATGTATTTTATGTGAATGTGATGTATACTTTTAAAGTTATGAATATTGTGTAAATATTCTAGACAGCCACTAGAGGGCACTGCCGTGTTCCTAGCACAGGAAACCTGTGCTAGAGCGTCGGACATCCTCACGCTATGTGAGGACCTCCAGCGTCGCTCATTTCCCCATAGGAAAGCGCTGAAAAGCATTTTCAATGCTTTCCTATGGGGAGCTCTAATGCGCATGCGGGATCAGTCTCGCCCACCGGCCGACATAATCAGAGGGAGGAGCGGCGGCGGAGGAAGAAGCAGCGATGTGGGACATGTCGCTGCCTCTGGTAAGTGACTGAAGGGGTTTTCACTCCTTCAGCAACCGGGGATTGGTGGGTGGGAGGGAGAGGGGACCTGCAGTGCAAGGAAAACTGATTGTTTTCCTGGCACTGGAGTTTCCCCTTTAAGTGCTAGAAGTAACTCCGTTACTTCCAGGGATAGAGCATAACCTCCATTTTATAGGCATAGTAAAATACAATAAAAATATATAATTCCCAAACTACCGAACAGAATCCCCAGATAGCCTAGATCTGAGCGCACAATATCACCGAATAGCGCTCAGATCCCATATACACAATTCAATCTCCATGGAGCTAAAGTCTTGCACATAGTGTATTCATCATACGAATGGGATGGCTATCTGGGCGGCTCTGTTCATATAATCAATGTACCGAACGGCAGAGCATTCGTATCAACCGGGAACAGGACGAGGAGGGGTCGGCATATTTCAGCTGTGTTCGTATGAAATAGTGTCCGATTTTAG